ATCGTATCAACAATCGAATGCTTTAATTTTGATAATATTGGACACCAAAATTATTAGGTTCAAGTCTGTATGGATTACAGCATTACTGTTATTGTATAATTTCTTTTACGTTTGGTTAACAGTTTCCACGTAACAGGTCCATTATAATATTTGGTTCAACAGACACCTCGTCAACCGCACTTAGATTTATAAACGCCTTCATTAATTCATCGGCAGTATCATTGCGAACTTTATTTGGAATGTCCATTCTGCCAAGTGGGACACTGGCTTCGTTTCCAACGGCCTACGTGCACATTGGTTCGTCTCCATTAAGTGTTTCATCCCCACTTCCAAACTATTCTTTATTACAAACACGTATAGTTCATAATAGTGTGAGGTTGACATACTAATGGAGGCATCCCCTAATAATTCTGTAGGCACTCCTTGACGTAAGAGATTAATATGTTTGTGCCCATCCGTGTTAGAGAAAGCTAGAAGATGGTTCAGTTTTGTTGGTCCAACAGTTAGCTGCGTGTAGTGGCGTAACTTAGAATTATGGTCGACACTCTCAATTTCTATTGACACGTGCAATTTGGGATCTAGTGTGAGACGTGGCGCAGACATTGCACAAGCAAGTGCTATAGTCAGTATGACTGAAGTCAGTAATAATATTGTGTAATCTAGTACCGAATCAGATTTTCCAAGGTCAATGCAAATATCACATTTCTAAAAATATAAAGAACATGTTCAAGTTTCAAAATAATGGAAATCTCTTTCACTTCACGCTCAAGCATCCATAATGAACGAAAAGATTACAACAGTGGTTTTAACACAGTTTTTAGTACTTATTTATATAATTATATTTCTATCGATCTTTCAAATACATTGGTAGACTCAAATCAACCACCCATCACAACTATTTGACTGTTTGTTTTTGACTCAAACCTCATCAATGCAAATAGTTAATGTATACTAAGTTAAGTAGTTACTTCGTAATAAGCTGTAGCGGAAACATTTATTTACACTAGTAGTTATGCAAATTGTGTACTGTTCTGCTACTCATCCATAGATTATAAAAATAGTAGGCAAGACACAGCCGAGCAAGAACAAGCATGCCAACAATGTAATTTTGCAGGCACCATGTCAGGATATAGATGGAGTCTGATAAGATTAAACGTGGAACTGCTTTCTAACTAATGTATCACGGTAAGATGCAGATAATGATGATAACATAACTGCACCAGACGAAGGAAATCGCGATAATGATTCAACACCTAACGCTGTTCATAGCGTAGATAGTATTACTGATGTGAAAAGTGGTCTGAGTCACGTCAGAGACTTAAGTTTTTACTTTGATAGATATGATGAGCTGGATTAACAAGCAGATCATGAGTTAAAAGGGTATTAACATGTGGAAATTAAAAACATCTTATAATGATTTTAAAGTTAGTAGACAAGGTTTGTAGTGACTGCTTTGACAAATACTAATAAGACATCAATACTGTAAAAGATGTGAAGACGGTTAAAAATCAATAAAACGATTACGTAAAAAGCTTTGCTGCATGTGATATAATATGAGAAACAATCGTATGTAAAAAAGATTACACAATCACTTAATGAAATTTAGAAATTTAGTTGCGCTTGAACGTGATCCATGGATATAAGTACTTATTATTTTGATGCATAATTAAATTCTATTAGGCTCGAACAATAAAGTACTTTTCTTTATAAAGTATTTAACTTACATTTTTATGCAGAACTTACACTAAAGAAAATAATAGATTTTGAACTTTCCTGCACGGATTGCTAAAAAGAAAATTTGTGTATTTATTGTATTCGTGTTAGTCCTTTTAGTATAGCGTAATATTCTACCTTAAACAATTGTTTTTGTTCAATAAGTTTTATATTAAGGAAAGATTGATATTGATGTCCCCATTTTCATCACCTCCGTTTATAAAAGTAAGGTCAACGAAGCATTCTACGGCATCTATATTAACAATAACAATTATACAGCAATTATTTGCTATCTCAGCGAGTTTCATCTCTGCAAACGTGTTGATGACAATTCAGGCTAGCTCTCAATTTCTCCATGAGTTTAACTTTTCTAAATTTTGAGTCACGTAGCAACCGGTTTCAAATATGCTTGAATCAAGTTCATCGTCCTTATGTTTTCCTTATGCTCAGATTCTTTTTAAGATCAAGAACACTGACTTGCTTTTTTTGATAAAAGCGCGTTTTTGATAAAATTCAGGTCACATTTCTTGTTTTATTTTGGGTCATTGAAATTATTTATAAATGTATCATTATCCTACGAAACTTCTTGACTTCGAAGTATGAAAGAAAATTGAGGCTGCCAACCCAGCATCATTATCATGAGCTGGTTTTTAAACAGTGTCATAATTATTTGATTATTCCCAATTATCAGTCAAGAACACGAAAACCTTATGGTTAATGACATGGCATCATCATTGTTATTACGAAACTCGTAGTTTTTTGCAATGGAAGCCATTATCTCGGTGGGTCAACATGACATCTGTGTCACTGGGTGCGTGTCCGAACACACCATCGTCCATCGTCCACCGCCCACTGACTTGTGAAGTCACGTCAATATTTGTCTACGTGTAACTTCTAATTGTTTGTTAATTAAAATTCTACGACTGAACGCTGCTCGTTCTTCATAGAAATCTCCGCTTTGGAACGAGCAAACAGCTACATTAAAAGATCGACTGACATTTGTTTATTATTAGACTTTCGAAAGTGTCCTTTTGGGTATTATTGAAATAAATGACTTTACTATTTTTAACTTTATTTTGTGTTGAACTGGTGCCTGCTTAACAATAGTTGATTTATATTCATATTATTGATCATCAGATAAAAATATAATTGATGTCTCAACATCTTTGACATTCATTACTCCGTGACAAAAATTGTTGTCTTTGTAACTAAAAGTTACGTCTACAAAATGATTAATATGTTTATTGTTTATTTGTTTTACATAAGTACGTTGTATTATATGACATAATCAAGTATAAGTGATGTAAAACTTTATAACGTTATTGATTCTTTCAACTTCGTGGTTAATATTCAATCTAAAAGTGATCTAGACAATATATTTTATGGTAAGAAACTTGGTCATCGTTAATACTCCAAAATGCATACGCATAGTAATATGAATAGACTGATATGTATGTATGTGTGAATGTGTAACTGTGTGTAAAAAAAAAAACAAAAGACCATCAACATACCAACACCGCATTACCTGTCATACCTCATCAAACACAAAGTTACAAGCAATGAACTGATTAGAAACGACGAGGCAGAAAGAGATGGCAATAATAACAAAAACTTTACTGCTGGTAAAAGGGTCTTTATTGAAATAGAACGAAAGCAGGTGGAATCCAGTTTGACTGGTAGACGAGGAAGCTACGTGATCAGTGGACCGGTGACGAAGAGAAGGGCGAAAACAACCTTACTTAAGATTGCACGCCATATTAGTAAATTGTGGTGCATGCAATTATCTGACTGCAGTGTACTTATGGTATAAAGGTCATGGTTAACTTCAACGACGGTCTGCCGTGATTTTTCGAAATTGGTACAGTCCCTGAGATTGTTTATTGAAAGTGTTGAATTGAAATGGTCTGGCTCTATACTTGAAGGGCTGAATTTAAATTCACCATTCGTGGCTATCCACGAGTTTGAATTTAAATTCAGCCCTTCAAAATATAGAGCCAGACCCATAAGACCAGACCATACCTATAGGTTTTAAAAGTAATATTGATTAATTTAAAAAAAGTATTTTTTAATTTTGAAAGGCATTTAATTGCTTATTGTATTGTATCTTTAGTTACAATACATCACCTGCCATTTATTAAAAACAAAACGCACCAAAGCAATGACAGTTTATTGCTTCAACATAACGAAATTAAGGAAGAAGTTAAAAGACATTCAATTATATACTTGTACCAGCTTCGCATGCAATCTTAACTATTGCCAACATACTATTATGTTGTATACGGCATAATGTGAGCGGTTTTGAATATTGCGCTTAGAATGAAGCTGTATGTCACGAGTCAAGAAATGAGGTTTTATGTCATGAAATAGGTTATTTTGAAATGAGTTTTTATTGTTGTCAATGGTTTTAGGCAATCAGCCAGGATTGTGTAGCTATGGAACAGCGTTTGTTTTTATCTGTGGTTATGACATCTGTCAGTGAAAATACCGCCAAAATTTTTAAGTGACGTATTGGAAACATTACGTTGATGCGATCCTAAATTATTTATGAAAGTGTAATGGCAGAATTTTCAGAAATAATATAATCTGTGTATAATCGCTCTATGATATAACATAGTAATAAGATTATCTACAGGCATCAGATAGTAGGTCAAGACAAAGTTGCAGCTTTCCAAGCTCAAATTAATGCAAGACATGGTCTACACCTGCTTGCTTGCTTGAATAAATCACATTGATGTGGTCAACGAATGAATTGGCGTTACCCAATGAGTGTCAAAGATACATTTAATTGCAGGAACACGTACCATTGAGCCATGTATAAGCTAATTATAGTTCCTCATAGTTTTAGTAACCTATAAGTTAAAGACCCTTTTGAAAACCCTTTTTGTAAGTCGATTTTTGATGTGTTTAAATAGGTAATCTGAGCTTTGGTTGCATTGCTGAAGGGTTGCTAGTTTTCTTGTTACGTCAATTATACATATCAGTTAATTATGTTAAATGTTAATTTCACTTTGAATGAAAGTATGATACGAAGAGATAGTTTGTCGAAATTATCGTGTGTTATGGATGTTTATGGATTAGTTCATTTGATTTGCGAAAGTGAACAATTTTTTTCAGTAACAGTAAGTGGTCTGGTGTAAGAATAATACCGATTATTTCACATCTTCACAATTTATCACGCTAGATTGGTGAAATTGAAACCGGTATGTTCGTCCTTTCTAGAAAGCAACAAAACAAGAAACGCGAATTTGACACGATCGATATAACTGTTCTAGATGTAAAATTTTTACCTTGAATCCATTTTGACTGGAATATTATAACAGCATCCAAATTAAACGAATTAATCCACTAATGATAACAAAACAAAGTCACCACTATTTAAAAACAACTGATAATTCGCATTCCACACTAAAAATTCACTTTCGTCACTGCATTTGTCACTTATATTCGTAAAATTTGACAGATAAATACGTTATTTTATTTCAGAAAAAGAACGTCAAACAACGATAGCACTGTTTTTGATCTGTTCTCAAATTCAAATGAACTTTATAAATTCCATTCGAAATGCCTCGGTTGATAGAAAGCCATGAGTGTTCCGGTGTGGGACTTTCTTCGGCGCGTGCGCAGACGTGCCGCGGCTCACGGCGAGTGAGGCGCTGTCGTCGCAACTAGTGTTGATACCGATTCTACGTTTCTCAATATAAGTATCGAGTGATCCGAATTACGTTTTGAAATATTGGTTTAACGAACCTGAAATGTGTCCTTGGAGTAATTATGTGTCTTTAAAAAAGGACATAATCGGTTTATTGTCTTGACGTTTCGAAGTAAAGCAATAAATATTTGGATAATAAAGGTTTCTGAGTCGCTTTAAGTAGTCAAATGTACTTATTTGTATTGCTCCCTTGCATTTATCATACTTATTAAACTATACATTATACAAATTACTTTTTGTTTAAGTAGGGTTGAATCATAAACGTAAATGAGAAGGTACAATATCTTACTGGTAGGTTACTTGTGCACGATTTTGCTCTTTGACCGAAAGGGCAATTCTAGACTTTCCTAACATAATAACATAAGGACGTGATGTGTAGTTTCAAGTGTCGATTTTTAAAGTCAAAGTTTAAGGTTCTCATCATAATAGATAGATTTATAGTCTATGTAGAAATTACAAAGGAGTAAACAGAGAGGACACCTTTACGTTATATGGTACTTATCTTTTATTAAACCCGTCTTGACTTCCTAACATTTGTTTAGATTCAGGCAAAATAAACTTTAATAGGACCTTTCACACTATCAAGTTTAAAGTATATAGTTAGGTTTTACCCAAAAGGTTAAGTTAGGTTGATAGTCAATAATATGCATTATGTATTCTTTACTTATTCTTTTTTTGCGTTTGATCTTTCAACGATAATTTCAAATGAAAAATTAAATAGCATTGTGCTATTGTAGATTTCGAATGGTCAACTTCATTTATATAAATTAAAACATCGATAATCACAACACACGAAAATTTTGAAAGATATATTGTTTATTGTTGAGTTCTTTCACAAAAGTAACCAACGTTTACGAAGTCAGTATGTATATATGTATCATCACTACAAAGTGTAAAACACAGTCGCTATCCGCCGTCTGTCTGTCCTTATGTATGTTTAGATCTAATTATTAACATTAACATCACCAAATGGGCGCATGATAATGGAATTATCCTGAACGTAAACAAAACTAAAATAATACACATACATTCACCTCACAATTTAGTAGCAAAAAGAATTAATAGTTTAGATATAGGTATACAGGGTCATACATATGAATGCTTGCATGCAAATAATATTAGTTGTGTTTGTCAAAATATAGAATATGTTAAAACATTTAAATACCTGGGGCTGTGGGTGGACAGTAACGCTAACTGGCGGACGCATGTTGACACTGTGTGCACAAACAGGAACGGTGACTTCTCCCTGGAGCACTCGGGATGATGGTAGCCCGCGGGATCGCTAATGCCCGTCACCTCGCCTCAAGGTGCCCTGCGGGCTTATTATTATTATTATTATTATCTTTAAAACTACGTAACGGATTTTGATGCGGTTTTGATTAATAAATAGAGTGACTCCTAAGGAAGGTTTATATGTATAATAAATGCTTATTGTACCCGTGCGAAGCCGGGGCGGGTCGCTAGTAGATAATAAAATTATATTGGCATTTTAACGTAACAAATATACATATATCACATTCCTGACATGTTACCGATGATGTAACAAACAAACAGAGTAATTTATTACATCTATATCTTGTTCTGTAACATGTTGTTCAGGTCCTTGTTTCGCTAGTACATGTATGTATACCTACCTAATAATTACAATTTCAATATAAAAAAGAACTTTTATACTCAATACAATATGAGTGTTTATTTCAGATAAAGGTATTTAAATGTCTGCCTCGTTGATCGAGTGGTCGCAAATACGACTGTCGGGCAAAGGGTCACGGGTTCGATTCCTGGCAAAAGTAGGCAATCCCCTATTACATGGGACACATACCATAAGTAGTGAAAAATTATGCAGTGGCATTAAGTGCCGGAATGTGCACCTTTAGAATCCCCGAATCTATCATCCCCGAAGGGGTGCCTATGTGATGTTATGAGAACCAGATACAGATAAAACAACTTGTCTTTCATGCCCAATCAACAGAATATCTATATTTTCTGCTTGCATTGTGACAATATCTAATAAACAATGGCGATCGATCGTGAGTGGTCTATCGCTTCGATCAGGTAAAAGCCTTTCGTTGCCAAGAAAGGCTTGCGCGGGCAGTCTCAGTACAGAGTCAGTGGCCGCCACGATCTCGTTGCGTCGTGGTGTGCGGGAGAAAGGCATCGCTAGTGAAATTTTGCCACAATGTGAGTTTTTGGGAAATGGTTAAGTGATTCTGGTACTTGAACTGTTTCTGATACTTATTTGTTTGTTATCAGATGATTAGAGTTTGGGTAGAAAATCTGTAGTCATGTTCATCATGTTGTTTGGCCCGATGTTACTACTCTTAGAACTTCTTGGTAGGTACTGGTTAGAAGCTTATGCCGATTCGGAAATTTGACTAAGTCAAAGTCAAAACATTTATTTCAATTAATGCTTAATTAGGCAATTTTGAAACGTCAAAAATTGAATTGTCCGTCCGTCTGTTTGTCAGTGAACAACATGACAGTTGATAATAGGTTATTTTCAGAAATATTACCTACTCCTGTTATACCTACACTTCTCTTTTCACGGGCTTAACTGGAATAATGCAAAAGAAAATTTGTATAAATAATTATCTCTGGTATGTTGTAGGTATTACTTAAATAAAAACTTCTTAGACACAATCTAATAAAACAAAAACTGTCACTATCAGTTTAATTTGCACTCACTACCTAATCACTGTTACTGTAATAAAACGCTGACAATTTCCGCCGTACCTAGTTCTCACACATTCTTCTAGATTAAGGCCAAGTTCAAGAGTTTTACTGTATTCAATAACGGAATTGTAATTGGAAAGCAAGAGTATACAGCGTGATCCTTGGCTTTACCGTTTTGTTAAACTATGAATGTCCCGTTAAACAACAATCCGCTCCTCCGAGCGCCAAACCGGAAGGCTCATAGCAGCCCGAGATTAAACGTCATGTCACACGTCATTTAGAACGTAAACATAATTTTAATAACTGCTTTAAGTTTGAGTATTTGAAAAAGTAAAAGATTCTTTTTTTATCAACTCATGTTTATTAAACGGTTTTTTTTATGTCTTCATTACATTTTTTCTATTGTAAATATTTGTAACTAATAATTTTTCATTGTATACAAACCTATTTTATCTGTAGGTATTCCTGATAACTTTATTTTTTATAAACTAAGAATTATTAAAACTGCTAGCGCCATCTGTTACTGAATAGTTATACTAAAGAGTTTTTAGTACTGCTACTGGTTAATAGATGGCACTAAAAAGTTTTATAAAATGCAAACTAGATGGCGCTGTATGTTATTGAAATAGCGTAGAATTTTTATTACAATTCTTTTTAAAATGTGTGCATTTTAATACTTGTTTTTACATAAATTAAATTTTAATTAGCACAGATTACAGAAATCTTTAAACAATTTTGATAACAACTGACAAAGTAGGTATTCCTTGTTCACAAAATATTGTTTGCGTTACGTTTTGTGCTAAAAATGTTTTTTAGTTGATTAGGAAAATTCAACTCATTATTCATAAATTGTATGTAACCGAACGCATATACAATCATTCATACCAAACAATCTCAATGTTTTGTCTGATCTGCATAACACAAGAAATTCCAGATGGACAACAGACGCTGCGCCTAAACGTCTAGTTACTATGTCAATCATTTGAATAATAATCATCTAGGCTTTACTGAACGGCAGCTTATTGCCTTTACGCAACACTTGACCGATTTCCACACTTCCTAGTATTGTAAACATTCCTATGAAGATTCCACAATGTAACTAATGTACGCGAAATGTTTGAAAAGTGATATTTGCATTTATTTCAACTGGTCTATGCAAATTTCACACGAAATGTCAGTTTGAATAATAGTTGGTTATGCACTGTAATTAGTAATGAGGTAGTCTTTGTACCTATGAAATTGTATGAGATTTCCGCAAAGGTATGGAATCAGTGTTCCTTTTTACATAGCTAGAACCGTAGATATAATAAAGTGTGGTGTGCTGTGGCTGGAACCGTTGATTGCTATTTTTATTACCGGTACCAAACGTACACATGTCACACCAGAAAATCCTATTGTGGCTCATTTAAGGGAGATAAAAACGTATTAAGTAATAATTGTTACTTACTAAGTTAAATGTTTTTACACTAATCTGAAAATTACTTGGAATATATTAGAAAGATTTGCTCAATCTATGCGTACGAAACAAAACTAAAATTATATTTGTCATTAAATTGCCTACATTTTTATAGGTCAGTTTTACGCATGAAATTAAAAAAAGAACATCAATTAATTCAAATTGGTTGACTGTTTTGCAATTCAAATAATTTAATATTTACATGAACTAATAAGATTCGGTTTTTTAAATGGATGTGTTGACCTCACGCAGGTCACGATTTATGGAACGCCAATTTTTTTTATGGTTAAAACTATGGCTGTGTTGAGAAAACCATTAAAATGGTATCTCGACCAGTTTTTTCGTAGGGCCTTTCTCAACTGTGTCAATGTTACATTCCGATTCGATTGTATTTTCTTTTAAGTACTCCAGATTATGAGAATTATTCTATTCTTAGGTCATTTTTGTTCATTATTTCCTGAATTATTTTGATTTGTGTTGTTGTTGAAGCCGGAGATATTTTTGAGAGCGTTTTCCTTTAATTTTAATTATTTCTCATTGACGGTTGTATCAAGAATCCTCGTACCATCAAGACACAAACTTTGATACATTTGTATCCTCCATTCGCTGCAGTGTTATTGTAAATTAATATTTATGAATGTATTGTGTATTACTTCATCGCTAACAACCATTTGAACGGATATAAAATATTTATGCCGAGGTCTATACCATAGGCATACACGGCACAAAAGAGCGGCAACTTATGCATAATGCACACAATGACTGACCGAGTTATATACCCATGCATATAGCAGCCGCGGATGACCGAATACAT